CATCCGAAGTAGTAGCCAGTAAATCCAACGCTGGCAATCGGAATACAATTTCCAAACCCTACTATGGTGAAAAAGTTTTTATCAAATCAGGAAAGTACACTTTTATAGAACAATTGATTAATGAGATAAAAACAAAACTCAAAGACAAAATTCATTTTGATGCGAGTCCTCAAGAAATCACGAATAGCATGAGCATTTGGATGAATGCAAATGAAGGAATCTCATTCCCAAGTCCCCAAACACCCAGTCTGTTAGGCTACAATGCAAAGCTTGATGAGAACGGTGAATATCACATTGGTTACAAAATGATACCCTCCTTCGATGCATCTTATGAGGGAAACGAACTGTACGAATCTCATTTCCCATATGACTTATCAAGTGGGACAAGTCTAATTTTTGTCTATATTGACATTATTCAATACCAAACTGTTGGTGATGCAAAGGCCCCATTGTTACGCGTCATTGATTCAAATAGACGCATCAAAAACGGTAGTGCCTGCAGCATTGAACCTAATCATCGAAAAAACTTCACTAATTTAGACTACAAAAAATTATTCACTTCATCTGTACAATCAATATCGGTACAGTTGCGCACAGAAACTGCAAGACTAGTGCCCTTTGCAGGAACTGGTAAAGTTGTGTTGACTCTAAAATTCAAGCGCTTTGATTGAAAACCAATGGAACAATATTATGCAAAGCAAGCTTCACTTCCTCATTTCTCTGGACACTACCGACAACGCGGCAGTCGATTTGGCGCTTTGGCTGCTGGTATTGGTCGTGTTGCTATACCGTTTGCACGACGGGTTATTCTACCGGCTGCGAAAAAACTGGGCAGAGAACTTTTGATGAGTGCAGCGCCAGAACTGATTGATGTCGCTATGAAAAAGAAGTCTCCTAAACAAGCATTGAAAAACACCGTCACAAAAACTGCAAGAAAACAACTTGGCAGTGGTAGACGTCGTCGAAAGACACCAATGAATGGATTACGAAGAAGAAGGTCAGTAGGGGCTCGAAAAAGAAAAACAACCATTCGAAGAAAAATCAGACCAGTGAGAAGTCGATCAGATTTTTTCTCAAACATAAAAAATGATCGCTAATTTGTTACCCAATGAAGCTACCCATAGCTCTCTGGATTTGTTTGAAAAACAACCTCTTTTGATTACTTTTGAAAACGCTTTTGATCAAAAAATTGGACCTGTCTATTCACCCAATGGACCAATGCTTGAATTTGAAATCACCGGTGACCGTAAAAATTTTGTTGACCTGCAAAAAAATTATTTGGAAATACAATGCAAAGTAACGCAATCAAATGGAGCTGATCTGCGATACGACAACACTGATCCTACTGTGTCTGATTCACCGTTCCTCGTAAACAACTCCCTGTATTCCCTTTTCTCTGACTGTACCCTCTCTGCTAATGGACACAAAATCTCAAATGCCAATAGTAATTTTGCGCATAAAAGCTTTATTGGAACAGAATTTTCTAACAGCAAAGGAGCCAAGGACTCATGGCTTAAGTGTCAGGGATATTGTTTTGAAAACAATCCCGCTGCAATCGATGCAGCTGATTTCACATCTCAACGAGAACTGGTCCGTGAATCGAGGGAAATTTGGTTCTTTGGACCCGCTGGAGTTGATTTTTTCGCATGTGACAAGCATTTGTTGAGCGGTGTTACCCTCAGACTTTCCTACAGACGTTCTCATGAAGACTTTCTCATTATATCGGAAGATGTTGCCAAGCATTACAAGCTGCAAATACTCGAAGCGAACCTATATGTTAGAAAAATGACTGTGACCGACCATGTGCTCTCTGCCATTGAATCAACTTTGCTCAAAACTCCTGCGAACTACCCATATCAAGAAGAAATTACAAAAACATTTCTTGCAACAGCTGGTCAGCGCAGCTGGCAACAGGAAGATATTTTTGCTCGTGAACCGGTGAGACAAATTATAATAGCATTGAACACAAATAATGCATTTCTAGGAACAAACCGAACGAATTCTTTTCGTTATCAAAAGTTTGGATTAGAGCAAGTTACCTTGAGACGAAACGGTTTACCAATAGCAAGTACACCAATCAGTACACAAGATCATAAACGTCTCTTCTTCAACACACTATCAGCGCTAGGTTTGTTGCACTGCGGGCTGGGAATCACTCTGGATAACTATCAACAGCATTTTATTATGTGTTTCGATCTCACTAGCACACAGCAGGCAGCTCATGACTTCTTGCATCCAGAACTTACTAACTGCTCAGTTTCACTCGATCTTCAATTCTCAAACGCTTTGACAGCAAACCTGGAAATTTTTGTTTGGGGTATACGCTCATCGAATGTATTTATTACATCTGACCGTAAAGTTACAAAGAACGTCCTTCCAATTTCGACTGTCTGAAAATGGATGAAATCCAGTTACAGGATCTCATTCAGAACTGTAAACATCTGAAATATAAGTTTCTTGGAGTATTTGCAGCGGATAATTTTCCACCTCACATCCCAAACAACATCTTTATGATTGTGAACACTTCAAAATCAGATTCTCCGGGGACACATTGGATTGTGATTTGCAACAGAAGAAATATTTTATATTTTGCTGATCCTCTCGGTCTTCCTCTTTGGCAGTACACCAATCTGTTTAAACGACTGAACGAGAAATTTCATCAGGTCACTGAAATAATGACAAATTATCCCATGCAAGACTCAAACTCTACCATGTGCGGTTCTTTTTGTATTTATATTGCACATTTGATTTATGATAAAAACTTTAATGGTGATGCTTCTGATTTTGTTTACATAAATGATCATGTTTTGAAACGTTTTCTAACTCACATGCTTTCTCATTAACTAACTATTTTATATGGCTGTTTTGTACACTTTTCAATTTCATTTTAAACATTACATTTTTAGTAATTGACATTTTTACTCAATTGTTAAATTAATAGCAATAATCCGAGAAGTTAGATTACTATCAAAAAAAAATACAAAATCAATCTATGGGGGGATATCACCATACCAACAACTCTTGCCTCCTTTCAGTACAATTTCTGGACGGGTTTCGAAACGCCGCCTTTCGGCTGAGAGTCGAGCGCCATGCGTTTTCCTCTACTCGGACCCCAGGAAATTTTGTTCCACTTCAATTTTATAGTTACAATTAGGTACAAGTTTAGACAATATTTCTACACAAAAACGGATCAAACATGCACAATACTCGAATCTTTCCTAACCCATATGCTTTTTCATTAAACTATTATTTAGTTCTACATGACTGTTTTCGTATACATTTCAATCAACTTGTCAATGAAATTAAGCTTCTGATTTCCTTTACAATAATGATTCTGTTTTGAAACGTTTCCTATTTCATATGCTTTCTCATTATTTAACAATTTTCTTTTTAACATTTGTATTTTTTATTCATTTGCTTTAATTGATTTTTTTTTCCATTTTTTTTGTTAATTAGAGTATTAATCAAGTATCGAATTACAATGTAGGCTCAAAAACCATTTAGCCCACTTTGGATTTATCAAAACATTTTAGTTTGCTAAATAGAATACTTAAAAATATAGCACTATTCAAATTATTCGAATAAATTTCAAGCTGATTCTATACATATATTTCAAACATATTCGGTGCAGAAATCAAGTGTCTTTCATATACCATGCATGAAACTAATAGCTATAACCACTTTATATACCACTCCAATTTGGTGCATAAACAAAAAGAACGAAATACACCGTCTGGGCATTTGGACGATTTAGCTATCAACCTAACAAAAATTTACATTCAGGATCATTGGTTTAAAAAATTATACATTGGGATCAAACTTGTGGGATCATTATTTGGGATCATAACAAATTTTACATGGGATCAGTACTTTTACATGGGATCTCAAAAATTTACGTTGGGATCTCAATACCCAATGATCCCTGTAGGGATCACCCCCCCTGATCCCAGTGTAAATTAGCTATACTACTGAAGCTTCCTGGTCATTAAAAAATTGATTTAAAAATGTAATAATCTATGTATGAAAATAACGCATGTATGAAAATAATAAAATAGTCATTTTGTCATAGAAAATTTTTTTTTTCGAAAATCACCAAAAAACGTGTCTGGGTAATTTTAAGTAGATTTACATAAGTATATCTATGATAGAGGGCATTTTGACAATCAAAAACATAATTTAAATGTCGGTCAGAAAAATGCTTATCATAAAGTTTTCAAGTACGAAAATTGTATGATATGTATGCCTTTTTTTCAGAAACAAAAAGTAAAAATTTGAGGTAAAAATTTTTTAATCCTTTTTTTGGCTGCGAATTTGCTTTTGTGCTTAACTATAAATTTTACGAAAAAAAACTTGCACGCAAAATTTGACATTTATGTGTTTATAACGTAGTCCAGGATGAGTTTCTCACCCAAAAACCCAAAAATCACATGAAAATGTTTTTTTTTTTGTAAACACGATTATTATCTTTTGTTTCATTTGCAAAAATAAAAATAAATTTGTAAATAAACAGGCTTTTTTCTTAACCATCATAATTTTCAAGCTAAAAATTATCTAGCCATATTCAAAAAATTACTTTTTGGTATATATGTCTATGTTAAAATGTTAAAATTAACTTTTATGGCTGAAACCACCAAATGCAGTTTATCTGCGTGGTAACTGCCAGTTACTCTCTGGGTTTTCTCATGACAAAAAATCTTTGGTTAGTGTTTCGGTTAAAACACGAAATTTCGAAACAAAAGTTTTTTGAATATTCATTTATGGCAAAAATGCTTATCATACATTTTCATAGTATGGAAAAAAAGTTCATTATACAATTTCATATATGAAAAAAATGCTTATTTTGCAATTTTCAAACATATATTTTTACCATTTTTTGTCAATCCGGGAAGCAAAGACATCCATCATGACACTGAAAAAATTCCAAAAAGTGGCTAAAACACAATTTTGTCTGATAGTTGAGATATTGTGTGTTGCATTGTTTTGTTTTGTCTTGTGTGTAGGTGGAGAGGAGGTGGCGAGTGGCTTATGGGATTCTAGTGTACAAGAATGTGGACCAGGTGGAGCAGCTGCTCATGTCAATCTACAGGCAACACAACTTCCACTGCATCCACGTCGACTCCAAGGCCACGCCCACTTTCAAGCGACAGGTCAGCCACAAGTACAAACAAGGCTAGCCGCTCACTGAAAAGTAGCACAGAAAGTACCGACCACAGTCCAAAGAAACACGCAAACTTTTTCTTCCAAATTAGTGTCGTTTTTCTGCGTGGTGTGATAAAAACAACATAGGCGTTTTATCGACAGTCATGGTAAAAAAGGCAAAGTGGAAAACAGTTTTTGAAGAAACAAGATAAAAAAAAACAAAAAAAGTACAAAAAGTTTGAAAAATTTCAAATTTTTTTCTTTTTTTTTGCGAAAATTTTTCAAGTTTGTGAAATTTTTGATTCTCAAAATGGAGTTGGGGTTGGGGATAAACTTTAGTAAACATGGGAATGGGCGTAGGGATAAAAGTAGGAGCCATGTTTAAATGCGGGTGTGAGGGAGAAGAGGGGGCAAATGCGTATGGGAGGCAACTGAGGGAGGGGTGGGGGATTAATTTAAGTAGGTTGAGATTGCGAGTAACGCGCAAATGTTGGAAATTTTGCAAATGATATTGCAAAAAATCGAAAGATTATAATCCGTTATAATCAATTTTAATGGGTTTTAATTGGATTATATGGATTGTGTTTTTACAAAAATAATCAATTATAATGACAACATTCATTCTAGACAACAATTTTCCACTATAATCGTTTATTATCCATGGAACTCCGGTGCGGTAGTGTATCATCGCGGCTTCAAAACATGTTGTGAAAATGCAAAATGCATCAGGATATTCACTCATTGCGATGATATGCAAGAAAACAATGGTGGGCAATGAGAGTAGAGAGAAACTGTGGCACAAACATTGTGTATCCTTTTAAGCAACAAGTAGCCCCCCCCCATTTATCTGATGTAATGGGTTGTGTGTTGTTAGATGGAGCGACTGGCCAGCTGTTTCCCCCACGACTCAGTCTTCTTAGCCCCCAATCCAGTGGACGTGCAGTGGGCCAGATTCAGTCTGGTCCAGGCAGAGCTGGCGTGCATGGGGGAGCTGCTGAGACGGGGGAGGGGGAGGAAGAGGGGGGAGATGTGGGACTACTTCATCAACCTGACGGGGGAGGAGTTCCCCCTGGTGACTAACATGGAACTGGCCACTCTGCTGGATAAAATACACGGAGTCAATTTAGTGGACGGTCAGTCCCAATTAACACACACCCCAATTAATAATACATCCCCACATCCGCCACTTGCCATCACTTATAGCTCTGGTAGTAACAGCCAACTCAAAACTATGTTCTCATTTTCTCTGCTTTTTGATCCAAGCTTGTTCTCGGGCAACCAGGTAGTCGAACAGAAAATTGCTTCTAAAATCATATCTGCAGCATCATGAAAACAAGCGAAAAAGATATCTCCTCGACTTTCCAAAATTTTCATTCAAATACAGTTGTGATTTTTTTGAGTTGATTACTTTTGTCATAATAAAGATTGAAATAGCATTATTAAACTTTGACAAAATAATAAACAAATGTTTAGAAAACAATGTTTTTCCAGGCTGTCTTAAAAAGTGGAACTAAAAAGATCCAGATAACTATAGGCCAATATCTCTTCTACCGGTTTTTAGCAAAAATTTGGAAAAGTTACTCCATAAACGCATCATTGATTTCTTCGACAAACATGGTGTTTTGACTAAAAACCAATTTGGGTTCAGATCTAAATTTTCAACAGAAAATTCTTTGGTAGACTTCATGGAAGACATTCGAAATTATTGAAAGTGAACACTAATGTAACATTTGTAACTTTCATAGATATCAAAAAAATCGTGTGATACTGTTTCACATGATATGCTTCTACAGAAAGCTGAGAACTGCAGACTACGAGGTCCCATACAGGCATTGTTGAAATCATATTTGACAAACAGATCACAAGTAGTCAAAATAGGCTCCAAAAGGTCCAAATTGAAAACTTTTCACTGTGGAGTTCCACAGGATCAGTCCTCGGGTCACTAATGTTTATTTGAATCATAAATCATTAACCAACAATTACAAACTCAGCGAGCCCATATTTATACGCTGATGATACAGCAGTGAAGCAAAAAGAACAAAAATTACACCACTACAATGAGGATTTATCAAAAATAGGAAACTGGTTGAACGGCAATAAGCTAACGCTGAACCTAGACAAATCAATAAACAAAAATTTTAATAGGAAAAAAATCATAGGATTAGACAAATTAAAAATAGGAACTGATGATGTTAAAAATAGCTTCTATACTAATTGTTTGGGCAATGACTTGGACTCAAAATGAGATATCAATTTTCATATTGACTTTTTTGTCAAAAATGAACAATTTTCTGGGTTGCTCTACCGATTATGTGACATGCTAGGACAGCACAACTAAATAATTTTATTTCAGTCAAATTCAGCCAATTATGGGCTTATTCTGTATGGAACAGCTAATAAAACAAAAAACGATTAATATGGGGTTATTGTGTACGGAACAGCTAATAAAACATCATTCCAGAAGACGAAGAGCTAATAATGAAATCACGATTAGCCTCCATCTATCAGACTGCCCGAGGAATTCGAAAACGGTTTACTCGAGCACTGACGATCGCATAGAACAGCCCGAGGCAGTTGGGCATAAAACAGATCATTAAAAAACTGAAAGACGAGAAAGAATAAGAAGAAAAATGCAATGGAGTTTTTAACAAAATGTTTTCTTTTTCAAAACAGGCGATCTGGAGTGCCTCACTAGCCGTATAAGGCAGCTAAACATATTTGATGTACTAATTAGTGAGGCACTCCAGATCACCTGTTTTGAAAAAGAAAACATTTTGTTAAAAACTCCATTGCATTTTTCTTCTTATTCTTTCTCGTCTTTCAGTTTTTTAATGATCTGTTTTATGCCCAACTGCCTCGGGCTGTTCTATGCGATCGTCAGTGCTCGAGTAAACCGTTTCGAATTCCTCGGGCAGTCTGATAGATGGAGGCTAATCGTGATTTCATTATTAGCTCTTCGTCTTCAGCTAATAAAACATCACAGCTAAGTTTGAAATGAAACAAAACCAAATTCTGAGATTTTTCTAAAGAAAACAGAGATATCAAACATTTAATAACTGAATTCCTAAAAAAACTTTTTTTTGGACTTGAAGATTGAAATATTGAAGCATAAACGACTTTAAAAATCAAACCAACGAATAATTTCACTGGTAAAAGTCCAAAAACGATAGGTGTAAGAATAAGAAGACTATTCTTTTTTTTTAGAAATTATTTTGAAGATATTGCTGATACAGTCAGCAATCTTAGTTTTAGTCAAATAAAGTTTGTTTTCCATGATTCTTGCGATTTATACATGACAAATATTAAAGAAATGATAGATCTTTTTTGCTAAAAGAGGGGGGTTGTAGGGCTTGGACAACTGATAGTAGTTTACAGTTTTACAGTAGAATTTTTTGTACTTCTTAAAAACTGTATTGCTTAATTAAGGCATCGTTTGACTAGGCCTATCGGGTCCTTTGATATCCGTTCATATCAGAAATATGTAAATTGAAATACTCAATTGCATATCGGAATTAATTATGTCTATTGATCAATCTCTGATATGAAAACAGTTTTTTATTATTATTATTATGGTTCGCACTCAAAAGTTACAAAACTTAAATGGGTCGCGCTGCATCCCAATTTAGACCAGACTGCAGCGTCGCACCGAGCATTTGAGTCTCGAAAGACAGGACATGATGACGCGAAAATCTGGAAAATGGATTTCCAGACTTTTGCGACCCATGGCGCGACGCATTTCAGATTTCCGAGGTTCAAACTTTCGGCGCGACTCTGCAGTCTGGTCTGAATCCCAATGGGCGAGACTCACAGAGTCTGGTCTTGAGTCTAGAACGCCGACCAGGTTAAGGATTTCGCTGCTTATAGTTAACACCTGTAAAAACAGCAAATTTGTTCCTTTAAAATTACTACCCATTATTACTCTGTCTGTTTTATTAGTTCTGTTGCATTGTTTTGATTATTGTTCGTGTTGAATGGTGTGTAGGCCCTGGGAAACACCCCAAGTGGGAGAGAGACAGACTACCCGCTAAACTGCCCCCCTACCTGGCCCCCTTCAAGTCTTCTACTCACGTGGGACTGTGCAGAGAGGCGGTGGAGTTCATTCTGGAGAGTAAGATTGCCTCTGAACTGTTGGACTCCTTCTCCCAACTGTGGTATGCTGAGGAGGCCATATTCGCCATACTACAGGTACACCACACCACACCACACCACACGTTTTCTTACTACAGGTACAGCAGTCTTGTTAGGCTATAAACTGATTTTCGCCGACAGGGTAACAACCTCTTGCATCATTTACTTACCACAAAAATTTAAAAAAAGTAGTTTGCTGTAAAATAACTTCATCTTTATTCAATTATGGAAAATTAGAAATCTCACAGTAGAAATCTCACCTACTAGTACTTTATGAAAAAATGTGAGTACTCTGTGATACTGCATGATACTGCAGTACTCTGTTATTCAAGGTCAGCCTAGGATATAGCGACTTAGATATTTAATCATTAACTTAACCTTCAACAACCTGGCAAAACTCTTGGTGCTAAAGCTAAGTAATGTGTGTGTTCACTTAGCTTATCTACTGTTGAAAAATTAAAGTTGATCCAATTTGTATTTATCCGTATCAACTCATAAGCAAGTCTTATATTACAGTATCTAAGCACCTCATGAGTTTACTTTACTTTGTTACAGTATTTTTAGTTAGAGTTTAGCTAATAGAAATCACGGATATCTCATGGCCCAGCCAACAGTCCAATATTAGGACGAACAAACAGATCTGGTTGGAGTGCAACCATTTTGGGCAAAACCATCCTCGCAACCACTAGGCCATTTACACATCCTCTTTGGATAGGCCAATTTTTCCTCATTTTTTCTCTACGCGAAAACTGTAATCCAAACGATTTGCTTTCACCACCTCAACCGGTACACGATGACCCGCCACCGAAGCCAAAATTACCACCGTCAGGTGAAGACGAGCGAGAGATAATGCATCAGGAAGGTACAAGAGGCAAATGACGAAAGAAAAAAAAGGACCCGAAGATTAATCCATCAGTGTATTACCACGAGGCGGAAAGTCGTATCAAGTCTAGATTATTCTTAAAACAACGCAACGAGGGTAAGAAAAGATTCCTAAAACAAAACGGCCTCGTCAGTCTCAATAATGTAAACTTCAGAGAATTTTACACCGCATGTGAGCGTCTATTCAAACGAAATAAGAATTACATCGTTGAAAAAATGCAAACCAAGGCGAAAAAGAAGGTTTAGCAGATTTCTACCTCAGATTAGCAGGACAAGTAGCAAAATGCGGATGAGCGGAAGACGCCAAAAAAGAAGTTATCAGAGACATATTCATAGCTAAAATGAGATTTGTGGACATCCAACGGGAATTATGTATCAGGCCAGGCGAAAAAATCGATGAAACTCTTAAATCACCATTATTACAAGAAAAAGGCTATGTCACAGCTAACCCCTACAGAAACAAAACCCATCATTGAGCACATCTGGGAATCCGTTCAGGATTAACAAGAGCATACGTTGTCTATCCAACCAGGTAACAGTGTACAAAATCGGACTAATAGAGCTCTACAAGACAACAGAAGAAACCGGTAAAAAAAAATCAACGATTACAGCGAAACCGTGTTACTTTTTTGGAAATAAATTCACACCAGAGCATAGGGAAAGATGTGCAGCAAAGTGGGAAATTTGTAACAGTTACGGAAAAAAGGGTCATTTTGCGAACTGCTGTAAATCAGACCAAGAAAAAGATTGCAACCTCATAGACTCGGACAGCGAATCTGGATAACCAGTCGTAAGAATAAAAGAAGAAAACAAACAGGCTGAATCTGTCAAAAATTTGGAAGTCATAAATGCAGCGACAGGCCAAAAAAATGCTTATGATTGATCCTCAGGACAACGGGATCAATTTTTAGTGCCACAGTGGACACCGGAAGCCCGCAATCGTTTATTAAAAAACCAACAGCGGATTTACTAAAGAAAAAAGACAAATTCACAAGAGTACTATTATTAGAAAAGCATCCAATCAAGACAAAGTACGTCGACTACAACCACCAAGCAATTAAACTTTTTGGCACACTGATTATAAATAAACACTCTAACGGATGGGTGGCTGAAAACGCACAATTCCTCATTTCAGAGAACCGAACAAAATGCTTACTAGGTCTGGACATTCAACCTAAGATAAGCATAACAACTACGCAAGTAAAACCGACATATTCTCAAGTGAAAGAAATCAAAACCGCGGAAAGTGCCGAAACTGAAGAATCGCAGTTCTGGAAAAACAATTTCATGGGAAAATACAACAACGTATTCAGCCGACTCGGAAGGTCTAAGAATGATAAAGTTTTTACTCTTTTAAATCACCGTTAGTACCAATCCAAGAGAAGGGCCGCAGATTCCCAATTCATATTCAATTAAAGGTCGGGGCAGAATCCAGAAGCTAATCAGAGAGGGGCAAACTGGACAAATGTACATCGGATCAGTTTGTAGCACCAGTAGTAGTTACGGCGAAAAAGGACGGGCTAGTTAAATTAATAATGGACGCTAAAACTATTAACGCACAGATTTTCAGAAACAAATTCCAAATGCCGAGTCTACTGGAGTCACTAGATTCAGCTGCCCAATTTATTACATCAAAAGATCCAAACGAAGTTTGGTTCACGTCATTAGATCTGAAATCCGCCTTCAACCAGTTAGCTTTGGACGAGTCAGTTAATAAACATTGGAATTCCAGTATTGTTTGTGGTGATTTCACTGGCACCTACAGATTCAAAACGGGATTTTACGGACTCACAGACATGCGCAAAGAGTTTCAGAAGACAATGGATAACACGCTACAAAGATTATCAAATGTATTCTTTTTTCTAGACGACATTTTGATTGTTGCAAAAAGTTCAAATCTAGATCATATCAAAACAGTAGAAAATGTGCTAGAAAGATTTAATGATGAATGATTTGCGCTAAAGGGAAGCAAGTGCGAATTTTCAAAGAAGAGTTTAACTTGGCTAGGTTTTGAAATAGATTCAGACGGAATCCGACCTAAACACTCGAAAATAGAGTCAGTCTTGCACTTAGCGCCGCCGAAAACTCTGAAACAACTCAGATCATTTATGGGCGTCCTAAATCAATTATCAAGATTCATTCCAAACTTGCATTCGAAAACAGAACCTTTGAGACCTTCACTCAAAGTCAGTATCTATCACAATCATTTATCTGGACAGAAGTACAGGATATTGCAATCAAGGAAATATTAAAATCAATTGAAGACATAACAAAAAAAGTTTTACAACGATGCAACGAAAAAATCGAGAAAAAAGTGTGACGCAAGCCATAAAGGATTAGGTGCCACGTTAGAACAGGAATGTGAACTAGGAATTTGGGCCCCAATCGTTTTTTCATCTAGGTTCCTAAATTAAGCAGAACAGAAGTACTCAACTAATGAACTGGAGCTACTAGCAGTGGTTTGGTCGTGCGAGTACTTTATGAAGTATTTACTGGGGAACCATTTCTATATTTTAACTGATCACAAAGCGCTAGTTACTTATCTCAAAGAAAACAGAGGTAACCGTAGATATCAATCACGCCAAACTAGGTGGACGGATCGATTATTAGCTCTCGAATTCTCAATCTCAAACATTTCAGGAATAAACATAGGCATAGCAGATTATTTGCCGAGAAACCCAAAGTTTCGAGCACCACCACAATGGAATTATGATGAACAATTTGTGGTCAAATCAATCCAAAACTTCGACAATGCTTCTTAATACCTCCAGAACAGGTTCGGGTAAAATCAAATTTATCCAGACTACAGAACAGAATATTGCCTAAACATATCAGACAAATCCTATTATGACTTAAATCCTAATCATAAATCCAACTTAGTTAGAATTAAAACAAACTTGATGAATTGAATTTTTTTATTTTAGCTGGTCCAGGAAATGTTAAAACTATTCGTTTTAAAACAATAGAGGGCGTCGCTACATGTATCAGAAGCATGGCCCAATCCTATTTAAACCGCAGAACATGCAAATTTGTATTCGGGGACGGAAATAAATTCCAGAGGCATTTTGACCAATCAGAATCGAGGAGCGGGATTTGCGTAATTTTAATCGGAGGCGGCAAGAAATACAAATGGGGTAGTAGCCAATAAGAATCGAGCAAATCCGCCAAACGAAATTTCAGCCCATATGACATTGAACCCCAAGAGGGCGTCGTATACAAAATCAGCCAATCAGAAGGCAGTATTCGTATTAACTTAGAATCTTGCAAAACTTCATTGTCTCCGACCTTAACTCAACATTATGTTGTCTTAATTCCTCTAATCTTGGAACTAATCTCTGTCAAATTACTAAACAACAAACATTTTCAGATGTCTAATAGCGAAATTAACTTGCCCTCGATAAATGTCCAGGCGGACAAGCAGACCGTAATGAACGCAGATCGGAATAGGCCGAAACGACGCCGATCAGACGGAGGGAGCCAGCAAATTAAGCGGAAGAAGTTGAGACAAAGCTCAGTGACGAGCCTGAGACAGAACTATGCCAAAATGTTGGCAAACTTCAGATTAAAAAGACCCGCGAAGGCAGAAAGAGTGAGCATAAGGGTAAACAAAGTGAACAGGATGGCCACAAGGAGCACACAGAGTGTGTCAGATGACAAAAAGTCTTTCACAACAGGTCTGTCGGATCTACTTGATGCAGGTTTGCTGGGTGAGCTGACGACGGAAGTCTCTAAATTAGGACCGCTGAGGAAATGTATTCTGGCCAAAGACAGCGAGGGATTTAAACGGTTGTGGAACTACATCGCAAGGTTCTGGCAAGAGTCCGCAGTCATCAATGACTGCGTTATAATAGACAATCGAGTGGCGATTCCATTTTGTTTACGGAAAGCAGTGCTCAATCGACTACATGGAACACATCCAGGACAAGAAGCGATGATAGATGCTGCAGTCTACATTTGGCGGCCACGAATGCACCGCGAAATTATCGAACTCTGTCAACGTGTACACAATGCTCAGAGTACGGTAAGATTATCATAACATCAAAACCATTTAACTCTAACCCACTACCAGAATTAGTCGCTTTAAGCGAGGAGTTGCAAACGGGTTTTGCCGGCCCATTATTAGACAATTAAGGAGAAAAAATTTTATAACCTAGTGGCGATCGATTGTTATTCAAAATATCCGTCTGCGCTAACCACAAAAACAACGGGGGATACAAATTTATCAAGTTTCTAAGGGGATGTACACAACATCATAGTACACCTTAATCAATATGTACGGACCGAAACTCAGGTTTTAAAAATACAATTATGTCAGAATTGTGCAAGGAAAAAGGAATTAAACAAAAATTTTACCCCGTAGGAGACCACCGCGGTTGTGGTCTAATTGAAAGGTTTATCCCAACAAATAAGAGAAACAATGCAAACGGACCCCAATTTCACGGATATTCAATTCGCGGTTAAACTGATTACTGAAGACATTTGAGTCGTCAAACACACATTATTGAAAAAGTCACCTTTTGAACTTCACTTCGGTCGGAAGCCAAACGCCTGTTTCTCACTGTGAAGAGATAAACTTTTGAAAAAAGTAGATCGCGAGAATTTAGAAAGTAATATGCTGACGCCGGAGCAGATGAGAGAAACATCGGATTCAAGGACACGAGCCAAAGCAGTGTATAAAGGAGAAAGGACAAAAATTTCACAGACAGGAGTTCTGTTTTAGCTCCAACATTGCGGAACGACTTAAATCAAGGCACTCTGAGATTTAGAGTAGAAGGAGAGAAGCAGATGAGTCGTCCCACATCATCAAGTAATCTTGAATATGATGTTTTCCATAATCCGAGCAAGGTTGTAGTATATCGGAAGATATTGCTCAGGAAATCGGGAAAGCCATTATTCAAAGTATTCAAGGATAATACTGTAAAGGTCACAGATAATACAATTATTACAGAAAAGGGGAAGGCCATTAGGAAAAATCTTATTTCTATAAAACCAAAATTCATGTCTTCTAAAAAATGAAATTAGATTCAGCATCGAAAATGAAGGCCGGCACTTCAACAACTACGCAAAGGGACCACAGATGACAATCTTGAAGCCGGTGAGAATTCTACCAAGGACAGTAGGAACGTCGGAGTCCAATTCATCAGATGAGCAACCTCCATATCCTAGTGCAGCAACCGAGTTTAGCAGCAAGTTCTAATTCAAGAACACCCGAAGGGAGAGAGAATTTGAAACCAGCCCAGGCAGCTATATTGACCCCAAAGAAGAGAACAGTGGACCTCACAATATCGTCCGAAAGTTCAGGGGGCATTACCAGAGTCGCCGGTAAAAGTGAACCCAGTATCAATCGAGATAGTTCCTGCCAAAGAAAATCCAGTAAAGATACAACCAAGCCAATACGAAACAACCAAAAGACATTCAAGCTGAGGAGCCGGAGGTAGCAGAGCCAACCAGGACGAAACTGAGTATTGAAGGAGATAAACCAGTTCAACCAGACATATCACCGGCCACGGAGACTCGAACTAAGCAAAAGGATACAGTAACAGCACCATCGAATCTACCACAGGAGACGGAAGAGACCAGGTCGAACATATCAAGTTCTTCGAGAAGCGCAGGCAGAACGAAGAGACAGACTACATTTTATGACAGCCCACTACGCCATGCGATTAACACAGTCGAGGAGGCAGGGACAAGTGCTGCAAGGACGCCAGTTATACCGCAGTCAGAAGAGCTGTATACACCATTAAGAGCGGTGTCGATTTCGTCAGGTAGTTTTCCATCATCAGAAGAAGAACAAACAGTGATTGGGAGGAAAATTAGTACCAGAAAACCAAGGGAACCGATTTTGAAAGCAAAACTGAGTCCTAAAAACAAATGAACTAAACTGACAACTAAGCTTTAAATTTTCAATTTCAACAAAAGTTTCCCTTGTGAGGGGAATGTGATACTGCATGATACTACAGTACTATGTTAGTCAAGGTCAGCCTAGGATATAGCGACTTAGATATTTAATCATTGACCTAAGTTTCAACAACCTGTCAACACTCTTGGTGCTAAAGCTAAGTAATGTGTGTGTTCACTTAGCTTATCTACTGTTGAAAAATTAAAGTTGATCCAATTTGTATTTATCCGTATCAATTCATAACCAAGTCTTATATTACAGTAACTAAGCACTTCATGAATTTACTTTACTTTGTTTTAGTATATTTAGAGTTTAGTAGTTGAAATCACGGATATCTCATACTCATATTTTTTACTCCCATGTTTTCAGCATAAGCAATACCTTGGATGGGGAAAAGAGTTAAATGCATCTGTTGAAAATGGTAAGAAGATGAAATTAAAAAGTTGTGAGTCAAGTTAGGATTTGGTGTTGTTTCAGTATAACAAACATGCCTCCTTTCCCTGTTCGAGGAGTTCGAAGGATGGGGAGAAGTACTTGGTGGAATTCTCTCCCCGCTACAAGCAGTGGTCCTTTGAGAACAGCAAGTGGTGCCCCAGTGGCTTCATACAGAGACACATCTGCATGGTAGGAGTGAAGACACTGCCGCAGATTGTGAACAACTATCACGGGGTCACCCTCGCTGTCAACAAGTTCCCCTGGCACTTCGAGCCACTGGCCTGGGACTGTCTGAATGTGTGGCACCACTCGAGGGTCTCCGAGGAGCGAAGGACGGGCAGAGTGTCCACTCACTTCCTGTCTAAGCTGAACAGTCTGGCCAACCCCGCCCACAGAATTTCCAACTACATCAGAAAACATCCCAAGTGGAGATGACGAACATGTGACTCGCATCAGCAGTCGAGAAACTCTCATCTGTCTCAGCGACGACTGCTTCACTGTCCTAACAGGATAGAGTTCAGGACACAAGGAGATTGGAAAGAGGAGTCGCTCTACCAATCATATTATTTAATGAACAACAACAACTAATACTGAGGTACATACAGAAGAGATACGATGAACAGAATTGAAAGTGAACCTGCATAGAACGTCACGAGAAAAACCAATAGTGTGATCTCGACCAGTCAAAAAAATTGCTATTTTAGAAAGTGGCCAACACTATAGAAACATTTCAGCTACCAAAATGTACGACATACTCTCGTCATTTGTCATTTGCTTTAAATTGTACATATCACGGAACTTAAAATGATTGTTTCAAAAGGATTATTTATACGAAGATTTTTTATGATCAAGTTTTCTAATAAAAGTTCTTAAATCAAACACTTACGTACAAAGGCAGGTCTAGGATTTTCTCAAGAGGGAGGCGAATTTTAAAAAATCAAAAGTTTCGGTCACTTTTTTTCAAGTCGAGCTGTTTATTTTTAACACCCGCAGTTCACTATAAAGACCGTATTTTGACCAATTTTCCTGCGCCACAAGCAAATTTTTGAAAAAAGGCCAAAAATTGTTCTTTTTGAAAACGTTGACCAAAAGATCATGTTTCTTCGGCGGGCGTTCCCCTCTCAAAGTTTGTATATATTGCCTAAATCCGCTACTGCTTGTGTAGAATTTTCTGGAAATGCAGCGTCAAAAAATTTAAAACGCACAACTCCTCGGTCTCAAGGCAATTTAAGGTTGAAATTATTCCCCGGGCTAGGACTCGAGTCATTTATTCTCTATAGTTTCGTTGTTTTTGGTCTTTTGCTTTGTTCTTATGACAACTAAGAAGTATAGTTATCGGTATGCGCAGCTCCATTTTCAATAAAAGAGAAGGCGGTGTTGTGTCAGCTTTGTTTTCTGCAGGTGACTCTCCACCTAGCGCATGGGTCAACATTTCTGTAGAACAACTTGTTCGGACTAATTATCTCCTGTAGTCTTTTTTTAGTGTGTGAGGATGTTTGATCCACTGACTGAATAGTGCCAACTGCTCTTCCCAATCTTTTTGTTTGGGAGTATTGCGGGTTGACATTCCACAGATAGTTATTGCTGGTTCAAAAGTTTCACAGTCTTGATGAAGTTTCATGCGATGATTCAGCAATCTGGCATGAATAATTTTTTCAGCGATAATAAAGGATAAAATAGCCAACCAGAATCAGCGCTAAACACAAGTTTTCACGTTCGAAAAAAAAAAACGTTTGATTTCGACATTACAAACAAAAACTATTGGCTTTAACCCTTATTTGTTCATTTTCACGCTCAGAATCGCTGGACGAAACGTCAAAATACAAAACTTTGTCTTTTTTTTTTATTATCGCAGTTATTTTCGGCCACCGTCTTTCAGGCTGTTCGTCTACATCGAATTTGGATCTAACCATCGAAGAACCAAGGCTGGCTATTGGCTATTGTAGTGTTATTTCAGACCTCAATTTGCGCTGCTCTAGCCCTGAAATTCCAGGTCTGGACCAGAGATGAATCTTCCCTGATCACGCATAATAGGCCACTGATCAAATACCAGAACAACGCTACTAAAATTCTGAAAAGTGATTGATCCTTCTGAAAAGTGATTCCTGGCTCACTGTTTTTTTATCGGGGTCTTTATTTTAAGTTTATTAGCTTAATAGAGCAATTCAGATTGGAGAGCATCGTCACTTAGAACACTTTTAGTAAGATGCTTATTCCTATACTGAGATTGTCAACTTAATTTTAAAAAAGGTCAAACTTTTGATTAAACTGTGCTGCCAAAAGTCTTAAGTTGTTCATGGCAAACCTAACTTGTTCAAAAGAAACATGATAATTTAAAATAGTGCGAGGGCAAAGAAACAAGGCTGGTTTTGTATGCATAAAAAAAACTTGTCTTACATTCTGTGATATGCGTTGCGATATCAATTGAAAACAAGTTGTAATTCAATACTGTATTCTGAATATTGAATTTAGATTTTCTCTTTTCTTGGTTTCTTATGTACTGAGAGATAGATCATTGTTAAGTACTCTGATCTCTCGCTTAATCTCAGTGTCAACACTTACGTATGACCTTGAGAATACCATAAAATAATGATTGAGCACCAGAGGTTAGATGTACATACGTATAATAAATACTGCTACTGCAGTAGCGGTATGACACACCCCCCACGGTGAAAGAAATAAATTATACAACATCAGTAGGATAATTTATTTAAAGAGTTTAATTTACTCAGTTCAAAGAAAAGTTTTTGTTTTTCTGGTAATTGACGATTTTGGATTATGTATTTTTCAGTTTTCCTCCAGCTCGATTTCCCAACTCGGGTTCCAATCGACTCCCTCATCCAAGGTAGCATATCCGAATTTTCGCATAAAAAGATGTCTTTCGAGTCGTCGCACTTTCGATTCTAATGGTCTGTCGTCCCGATCTTTAAAATCTCTCAGTTGGTTTCTGTATTGTCTAAGTGCCTCCTTTAGAAGACCTCTACCTGTAAGGTTTTCAGATATTTCTTTGATTGAATGTTTTATCGGATCTCCGAATCGTTTGGGTTCTTTGTTTTTTGTTTGTCTCGAACTTCGTCTAATACCTGACTCTTCTGCACTTGATTCGTCCGAGAATCCTTGTGGTGGTTCGAAGTTTGTGTCCAGTTCCGAGCTTTGTTGAGGATTTTCTCGAAGTTCATCCGCAACTCGCTGCACTCCTCTTTTTAACAATTGGTCCGCGTACTTCTCCCATTCAAACGGTGCCAAATTTCGATTGTGAAATGTGTCCACGATATCTTCAAGAGGAGTGTGAGAGTCAATGCCTTTCAGTTTCGGACGCTGTTTTGCTTTCGGCGTAGAACTTGACTGAATTTTGGTATCTACTGTGTCTGATTCCGGCTTAGATGTTGCTTTCTCTTGCTCTGAGTTTGCTGCAGTCGCAGCTTGATTTGTCCCCTGTTGTTTCTTGCTTCGGCCTTTCTTTTCCTTTCCGCTCTTTTCCGGCTTGTTTGTGATATTTTCCTCTGTATTTAGTTTTGGTCCCGCCAAATTGGGTTTTGCTCTTTTGACTGCAAGATTCAGGCCTCCCCCGGCTTCTGTGTCCTTTGAAGTGACTATTGTTTGGCTCCTCTGAAAGCGCTCTATCGGATTCATTGTATCAGCGATTTCCATTTCTCCTTGAAGTTCGTCCTCTGATCCCAGCTCCTCTAGTCGTTCTGGAGAGCTGACTCGCTTAAACTTTTTGGTAGGTTCTGACGATGGACTTTTACTCGTGCTTCGCTGGTTTTCTTGCGTCAGTACCGTTTTTGATTGAGCTATATCCGATTTCCTATAGATCGAACCGGCTGATGTCCTAATTGTTGAGTCCGTTTCTGAAACGATTTTCCCCTTTAGTGGCCTGGTTAAGGCTTGTCCGCTTTTCCGTAGAGGGTCCTTTCGAAGTATAGTCTTGGTTGGTGACATGCATTGGTTTTCTATTTTGTCCTCCACAAATCCCTTCTCCCAAGAGTATATCATTTCCTTTCGGAGATCGGGATTGAGTTGCCCTGTCTCGTCCACTAATTTCCGGATGTCATTTTTAGCCGCGTCCCTTCTTTCGTAGTTCCAGCGGGCGTTCGCTTCCAACAATTCCTTTAGGGCTTTGGCTCTTTCTTTGTCTCTGTCCGATGTCATCTGCTGCTTGTGCAGTGGGCTTGTATCCCTGCTCAGTTGTCCCTTGCGCACTATCTTTAGATTCTCTCTCGACTGATCAATTCTTCGTTTCATTTGAGAAGCAGTCAGTGCTGAGCGTCCCAAGTGTTGTTTGTCTAAAGAATCAGAATTATTTAAAAATTTATCCCTCACAATTTTAAATTCTGTTTTTGGTAGCCTGCCAAAATGTGCTTGGAACGGAGATACTTGAATTGTTTTCTGCTTGTTCCACCGTAAGTCTCTCATTATAATGCTGAGGCATAATTTGATTGATTTATTATTTTCATCGAGCATCATTACTCCCAGTCTTCTTTTTATTGTTTGAATTGTACGTTCAACCAAACCACAACCTCTGTGATCCCCCACCGGACAGAATTTTTGCTCGATATTGAGTTCCGAACAGAATTTTTTAAAAGTTTTTCCCTTAAATCCTGAAAATTGGTCCGATCGAATTGATTCAGGGACTCCATGTGTGTCGATATATGATCTCAAGAATTTTACTGTGCTCTTTCCACTTGTGGATTTTGTAACCTTCACTGATGGAAATTTTGAGAATCGATCAATAGCTACTAAAAGATAGATTTTTTTTCCTTTTTGGTTTTCTATAGGCCCCGCGTAGTCTAGTTGTACCTCCTGTCCCGGCTGCGTGAGCAGTGGCAATGGTTTTGACGAATTTTTCGAAATAAGGTATTTTACATTCTTACCATATCTGGTACAACTACGACACTCCTCTGCCAAATTCACGATGTCCTTAATCATGTGTGGCCACCACAGATATTGCGCTGCTCCCAACATAGCCTCCTGACCTAGGTGTCCTCGATGGATTCGTTTCAGGACAGCTTGTCGTAGTTGAACTGGTACTGCTAGCCGATTATTCACCAAGATGCAGTCGTCCTGAACTGCCATCTGTGACCACAACGGATTTGTATAGGGTCCCATCAATTCGAATCCTTGTTTATCCCCTCTCTCTACCACTCTCCTGAGGCGGTCCATCCACGTGTCTTCTGTGGTCAATTCTGCTAGCAAGTTTTTGTCGAACAGTTTTGCGAGATTGTCCAGGGTCTCCACTTGTTGCTGCTTTTGCAGTCCTGTTTTTCCTAGTCCCTTTGGCGGTTGAATTGAGCACACTTCCTCCTCACTCTCCGCCTCTTCTGTGGTTGTCAGGTCTACTTCTATTACATTCACCTCACTGAGTTTTCGTTCCGTCGATGCGCTCGGTTTTGGCGATGTTGAACTTGATTCGTGTTCCAAGTTGTCCCTGACTTCTTGGGTATGAGCCACCAGTTCTCGATTTTCCTGAACATTGTTTTCTCCGCCTATTAACTGCCAGAATGAGAGCAGTCTTTGATCCGCTACTCGTTGTTGTTCCGGTTCCAACGACCATTTTACTCGTTGTGCATGACGTGTTTCGCTGTCTGAACTGTCCCTATTTTTTCTGCCTCCTCGTATTATTTTTCTCGTGCGTTGGACTGTCTCTGTGATCTCCTCCTCTTCCGAGAGTTCGATATTGGTGGAAAGTGATCGGTTCCACTTTGAGTCCATTATGCTTTCTTCGCGCTCCTCATTCCGTCATTCTTGTGGTGAGTTCGACCACCAGTCGTATGCTCTGTTTTTATTTTCTGACATCTCGATCCTTGAGTCTGTTTTTTTCTATTTTGCT